GGTCCGGGCTGGGGATTCGAACCCGCCACCTTAGGTGTACATGGCTGGCGCCTTAGCCGGTTAAGCTATAGGCGCTGAGCCAATTCTGTTCTTATTTCTCCTATTATTTCATTAATGTTCTCTCCACATATTTTTTAATTAGTAGTGAAGTAAAATGCACATATGTGTATTGTGTTTGGTTAGTATGTCTTGTGTATCTTTTTTTTTTTTTCTCTTCTGAGATAGGGTATTTCTGTTGCCTGGGCTAGAGAGCAGTGGGGTCATCATAGCTCACAGCAACCTCAGACTCTGGGGTTCAATTGATTTTCCTGGCTCAGCATCTTAAGTAGCTGGAACTGCAGGTGTGGGCCACCACACTTGGCTGATATCTTTTTATGTTTGTAGAGTTGGGGGTCTTGCTGTTGCCCAGACTGGTCTTGAACTCCCGGGTTCAAGTGATACTCCTGCCTCAGTTTCCCAGAGTGCTACATTATGGGTGCGAGCCAACCACACCTGGCAGTATCTCTTAAGTCAGTCTTAATCTAGGGGTTACCCCTCATCTTTCTTTTCCCTTTGTTTTCTGACAGTTTATTTCGTGAAGAAACTAGTTTTATTTTTCTTCGTTTTTTTTTTTTTTTTTGAGACGGAGCCTCAAGCTATCCCCCTCGGTAGAGTGCCATGAATTCACTGCTCACAGCAACCTCCAACTCCTGGGCTTAAGCGAGTCTCCCGCCTCAGCCTCCCAAGTAGCTGGGACCATAGGCGCCCGCTACAACGCCTGGCTATTTTTTGGTTGCAGCCATTATTGTTGTTTGGCGGGCCCAGGCTGGATTCAAACGCGCCTCCTTAGGTGTATGTGGCTGGCGCCTTAGCCACTTGAGCCACAGGCGCCAGGCCTTTCGGTTTGTTTTTTGATGTCAGCATCTCTGATACGTTATGGAGCACGCTTAACCATTTCCCATGTTTTTAATAAACTGGTAGAAGCTTGATCTGACTCCGGATTACTTTTGGCAGGAGTACCTCATAGCTAGTGCCACTTCTATCGAGAGGTGCCTAATGCCCTATTGTCCTAGTGGTGTTAGCAGCCATTTGAGGGTTATTGCCTAGATCCACTAATTAGGGCTAAAAAAATGGTGATAGTCTAATGCTATTGATATTTCTTCTTTACCTATTACTTGGAATACTTCCGTATAAGGCCACCTGTGTTTTAAAGCTGTTTCTTTGTAATTTTTCAGAATGGCTTCTTTTGGGTGGAAGAGGAAGATTGGTGAAAAGGTCTCAAAGGTCACTTCCCAGCAGTTTGAAGCTGAAGCTGCTGATGAGAAGGATGCGGTTGAGAAAGACGAAGGGAACTGGCTTCATGCCATTAAACGGAGGAGAGAAATTCTCCTTGAAGGCTCTGCTGAGAAGAGTAAACAGCTGAAGGATGAAGGAGCCACTTTGGCTGAAAATAAAAGGTATGTGTAGAATTTTCTTATGGAGAAGAGTTTGTATTTTCTAGCTTACTGTGAGTATGTTACGAAGAGTTGAGAATTGATAATTCATGGTTTTAAAATCTTATCTGGGAGCAACTAGTCAAAAAAAAGGTATTTCAAAATCATGTGAAAATTCTCATTTTCAGGGATAATGAAAGTTTATAAAATAGTTTGCAAGATGCTCATGTCTCTGTTTTGCCATCATTTTTGTTTAGTCTAAAGAAGAGTAAGTGCTAAGTAAAATATAATCTAGCTCATTGATTAGTGGAAGGTGATCTACTCTCTGAAAGTTTTCTCCTAAGGATATTCTGTAACAGGTAAATTAGGCATTTCCCAAATAGCTTTGAGCATAGTATATTTGTTAGGGTTTTTTGTTTGTTTTTTTGAGATAGAGTCGTAGCTCACAACTATCTCAAACTCTTGGGCTCAAATTATCCTCTTGCCTCAGCCTCCCTAGTAGCTGGGGTTATAGGCGCCCACCACATTGCCTGGCTAGTTTTTCTATTTTTAGTAGAAACAGGGTCTTACTATTGCTAGGCTGGTCTTGAACTCGTGAGCTCAAGGGATTCTTCCATGTCGGCCTCTCAGAGTGCTGGGATTATAGGTTTGAACTACTGTGCCCAGCCATAGTATATTTGTTCTTTTTTTTTTTTTTTTTTCCACAGTTTTGGGTGAGGCTGGGCTTAAACCTGCCACCCCCAGTATATGGGGTGGGTGCCCTACTCCTTGAGCCACTGGTGCTGCCCCATAGTATATTTGTTTAAAAAAATAAGTATTCAGTTATTCTTTGCCATTTACTTCCTTTTTTTTCTTTTTTTTAAGATAGAGTCTCACTGTGTTGCCCTTGGTAGAGTGCTGTGATGTCACAGCTCACAACAACCTCTAACTCTTGGGCTTAGTCGATTCTATTGCCTCAGCCTCCCGAGTAGCTGGGACTACAGGCACCCGCTACAATGCCCAGCTATGTTTTCGTTGTAGTTGTCATTGTTTGGCAGGCCTGGGCTGGGTTTGAACCCGCCAGTCCTGGTGTATGTGGCCAGCGCCCTAGCTGCTGAGCTGCAGGTGCTGAGCCCATTTCCTTCTTATATACCTTAATACGTATGACTTGGGTGATAATACCTTCATTTATTCGTAGCCCTTCTGAGCTGTTTTCTAATACTGCGTTTTTGATACCCATTTCTTTTTCCTTTTTTCCTTCTTACACATTGATTTTCTCCTTCCTCTGCTTAGATCTTTAAGTAAGACCAAAGATCATTCTTCTACAGCTTAGTGAGGAAAGACAAAGTTTTTAGTAGCTTGTATTGACAAAACTGGGTTACTATGTAGAGAAAAATAAAATTGAATCTGTATCTAATACCACATACAAGGATGGACTGCAGAGGTATTAAAAATCTAAATGTGAAAGGTAAAACCATATAGGTAGAAAAGGACTTACTTGTTCTGTTTTTCTACACACCCCATGTGTGTGTGAGCAATTGTATATTTACAGGGTTTTTTGCAGATCTATTTGAAAGTAAATTGCGAACATGACACCTACCTCTGAGTCAGCATCTTTCCCCTAAGAAGAAGGATATTCTTTCACCTAATACACCATTAACAAATGTACAGAAATTAACAATTTCGTAATCTCAGTTCACATTAGGTTTTTACGGTTTCCCTCTGAATGTCTTTAGCAGTATGTAGTTTTTAAAACCAGGATCTGAAGAGAGTTCGCATGTCGTATTTGGTTATTATGTCTCTTTAGTGACTTTTAATTTACTGGAAGCTCCTACTTTTATCCCATTGACGTTTTGAAGAGTCCAGACCGATTTTCTATTTCATTGTTTCCTTAAGTATGTCATTTAATTTGTTTGTCTTACACACGTCTTGTTCACTGAAAGTTAGGTGTGGAGATTAGGTTTAGAGGCCCAAGATTTTTGACAAGTATTTCATAGATAATGTTTGTGCTTTATATCTTATCATATTGAGAAGTAAATAATATCAAGTTTCTAGCACTGGAAAGACATTGTGCCTGTGTGGATCTGTGTGCTGTGTTCTGTATTTGTCGAGAGCTGTATTTTTATAGAAATCTTAAAAGCATTTGTCCTAGTTAAAGAAAAGACATATATTAGGAAAATGTACTTGACAGTATGAGAACTACTTATTTGTATTGTATATATGATTCTTAGAAGATGATTTGACCAGTAGTAGCAGTATCTTTGTTGGAATAGAATCTTCAGATCATCTAGAGATCTAAAATCAGGCCTGTGTGCCCAGAAGAAAGTGAAGTACATGTCTGTAATCCCAGCACTCTGGGAGGCGGAGGTGGGCGGGTTGCTTAAGCTCAGGAGTTCGAGACAAGCCTGAGTAAGACTGAGACCTGGTCTTGAAAAACAGCCAGATGATTTGGCAGGTGCTGGTAGTCCCAGCTGCTTGGGAGGCTGAGGCAAGAGAAACACCTGAGCCTAAGAGTTTGAGTTTGCTGTGAGCTATGATGCCACAACACTCAACCCCAGGGCACCTGAGTGAGATTCTGTCTCAAAAAAAAAAAAAAAAAAAAGAAAGTGAGGTAATATTAAGCCAAAAGCACTTTTTGCCTTTGTTCTTTTTCTCTTCTTTTGTCCTGGCGAAGTGGGCATAGGACTCCTTGTTAACAATTTTTGTCATAAATGAGTCAAAGTTGAGAAACTGACCTATTAGTTTCTAGGTCTGTTTTTATTTTTTATTCTGGGATATTCTTTTAATAGAAAGCATAAAATGCTTAAACTATATTAATAAGCATCTCAAATTGGGAATGAAGGGTAGAAAATAAAAATCAAGATCCATTAACTTATCGTAGAAGCTTAATAGATTGTGAATTTTCGGGTTATTGTAGGTGTAAAGATTTTTCTCTTGTGGAACTTTGCAAGACTGGCCATCTGTCTTAGAAGAAAGCCAACTGTAAATTTTCTACATTTATGAAATCATTCTCAGAACATCCATAAAACATCTTTAGAAATTCTTTTAAATGCCTGTTAAAAGTTCATTAACTTTGTTGTTTTTCTAGACCACACTGGTATGTAGAAGGGAAAAGCTATTTAATTATTGCCATGGCATTCCCTCTGAATTTCCTGTGGCAAAGGAGCGATATCAGCTTTGTAGACAAATAAAATAACTCATGTTTTCTGCGTTATATGTCAAAACAGTGAGTCATTTCACTAACATTGAATTGGATGCTTTATTTTGGATGGAGAACACTGTGATGATTAAGTTTTTTGCTCTTTAGCATTTGTTTTGTTGTAATGTATACACAGCTTTAGAAAACAAACAATTAAAGGAATCTAATGGACTTGAGTAGTTTGGCCACTCTGACTCAAATAAAAATAGAAATAATAGTTTAAAAATATCTAAGGTTCAGTCCCCATAGCTCAGTGGTTAGAGCACCAGCTGTGTACACTGGGGCTGGTGGTTTTGAACCTAGCTCGGACCTGCTAAACGATAATGATAACAACAAATAGCTAGGTGTTGTAGCAGGCGCCTGTAGTCCCAGCTTCTTGGGCAAGAGAATCACTTAAGCTCAAGAGTTTGAGGTTACTGTGAGCAGTGACACCATAGAACTCTACCGAGGGCGACATAATGAGACTTTGTCTCAAAAAGAAAAAAAAAGTATGTGTAAAGTGGGTACAGTTTTTGGTATATGAATTATACTCCAATAAATTTGACTAATAAAAACAAAGTTGAGTGCTTATCAGATATAAAATAGTCTTACATTTGTTTCATATCTCTGTGTATGTTCAGGATATAGTTCTGTTTTTTCTGAAGTTGCTGTCAATTCATGAGTTATAGTTTATAGAAACAGTGATTTAGATTTCAGTAAAATTCTGAATCTGAATATATTATATTTTAGGGTATTTTTTTTCTTATTTTTAAGTTTCAGATTAATGTGAGTTACAATTACATTTGCATTTGTTAGGTAGAGTCCCTGTTGTAGTTGTATCCTGAAGTGTGTCATATACCCTTACGTTGTGCCCATCAAGTGGGAGCACACCAGTCCCCCTCCTTCCTCTCCTCTCCTCCTTCCCTTCTTCCTGCTCCCTGCAACTTGAATTGAGTTTTTCTCTTATGTGAGCATGCGCTAGATTGTCTACTACCTTCATATTAGTACTGAGTACTTTGGATTCTTGCTTTTCCATTCTCATGACACTTTACTAAGAACAATGTGTTTCAACTCCATCCAGGTTAATACAGGTTGTTTCTGCATCTTGGCGATAGTAAATTGAACTTCAGTGATACCTAGTGAAAATATCCTTATGGGCTCGGCGCCTATAGCTCAACCGGCTAAGGCGCCAGCCACGTACACCTAAGGTGGCGGGTTTGAATCCCCAGCCCGGACCCACCAAAACAACAATGACGGCTGCAACCAAAAA